GAAACTTATTAGCCACTTGTATTAAGGTCGTGAATATTCCATTCGAGGAAGGAGTAGCCCAATTCGGAGTTGAGGAACTTTACCGCGAATAAAGTAGGAGTCTAATGATGTTTCTAGAGATGCCTATTGTTTCCAATAAATAGTTAGAACATTTTCTCGTTTTATGTTTTTACGCTGTATGAATATAATTCAACATTTCTTATTTCCTAAGTGCCTGTTTGAAAAAGCACCTCTCGTTCAAACCCGAGTTCTCCATGGGTTAACTTTGTTTATGGTATAAACATTTACTGTGTTTTGCGGTCAGACAGGGTTACCACGTATTTATTTCAGAGCAGACGTCAGCGTCTGGTATACATGTTCGTACGAATTTATGTTATTTAAGGTTAAAACTTCCAGTTTCAAGCATGTCTGATCGTGATAAGGAGCAGGAAAAAGAATCATCTGTACAGGATTCAAAAAAGAGAAAATTAGATGAATCAAGTCCCATTAGCATACCGAGCACGTCTAATGTTGCCGCGAATTTACCTTTATGGGTTGCAGGTTGTTTTTCGAGATAAATATTTATTTAATTTCTCTCGAATTCAAGGTGGCTCTCCTGCAAAGTTTTGTACTCAAAATGAGCTCTTGAATTTGTCCAAAGAATTAGAGAATTTGGCTTTAGTTCATGAAATAGCTATTGATCCAAGTTTCAGCATTCCAGAAACCCCCGAAGATCCCATAAGAAGCTCTGTTCAGTATTGAGTATTAGAATTTTTTTTCGTAATCAACATCTTTCTAGAGACTCAATGAGAAGAGCTTTCTGGGACCTGTTGCGCAAAGATTTAACAACTTCTCCTCCCAGCTACACAAATGCTTTCAATCTCCTTCTTGAGATAAAAGAAGTTTGTACTCTAATGATACGTGTTTATCTCTTAACATTTTGAAGATTATCTTGACCGATATACTCACAGATCAACATGTTAGGTTAAAATCAGAAATACAGCATCGCATCGACGAAGGTCAGCTTAGAAACAATATGTTTTACGTAGTCAGAGTTTTCAGAAACACTAAGGGCAAAGTTAGAACAAGATTCATTTCACGTTGAGCCTATTGCTCGATTCATTCTGGATTTTTTGAGTCGGTTATGCTCTCCTGCTCGTGATGCAACTATTGAGAACATCAAAAAAGAAACTGGAATCGTAGAACTACTGAGGTTTGTGAAATCATATGGCTCTTGCTATTTGTATGTTTGATATATTCCTCATTGTAGAGGAATCATGGAGCTGCTTGATGTAATGAAAGTTGATATGACCAATTATACGATTTCTGTTAATCGTGCTGCTGTGGAGAAACATAGCGAAAAACTAGAGTTGCAAGTTTTCCTGAAGTTATTAGAGCAGGATCCAGGTATTTCTCAACAAATTTTAATCATCAAGTCACTCCGTTCAGGTGGAGCAGATCTCACCAAAAAATGGATTGCTGACGCCTTTCTAGAGGTGTTTCCCCCTGTAACTGAAGAATCTGTCAAAAGAGAAAAGATAGATAATGATGATAAGGACGAGCTCACGAAAACCACTAGTAAAGGTTACGTGAAGTAAGCGTCTCTGATATTTATTATTTTCCACCAAATTCGTTTTAAGTTTGATAATTTCTGAGAACCCATCACCGTTTCCCGAAACTTTGCAAATTGATAAACTAAGACTCAGGAGCCTAGCAGAGAAATACTTGCAAGTGTCTATAGTCACTACCGCAATATTTGTTACTTCGAATATTGCTGGAAAAGATATAGCACAAAGTGAAGGTTTCAAGGATCAGGTCAAACGTAATCTCATAGCTATTAGTAATGATATTGAAGAGAAGTTGGTGATTCCTGACAAATATATCTCAAGCATGCTTCTTCAGAACACTCAATGAAACAGTCGATGGAATAGCTGAACAATGCGTGAAAGATTTGAAAGAAGCATCTGAAAAACTACAAAAAGAGTTTACCGAAGAGCAACAGCAGGTTTTACGCTCACAAATCAAGACTATCAAAGAACCCACGCAATCAGTACGGCAATTAGTTGGTACTCTATTCTTTCCATTTATGTGAATATCTGGTTTTCTTTTCAGAGAAAAGAATAAGCAATTTCATTGAAGGCGTTCTCCGAGCTCCAACATCACCACAACGGTTACTACCTGGTCTATCAGTAGTTCAATCAGAATTATATGCATTCATCTCCAAGTTTTTACGGATATGCCTGCATAATCGCAAAACTTATGAAACATTTTATGCAAAAGTTCTAGAAGAGCTCAAGAATTCAAGCCCTCCTGAATAGTAGCTTACTGACAATTTTACTTGCGAATATATGAAAACTTCGGCTAAACTCTGTTGATCTTCATTATCACGAACTTTGAATTCATTATAGCTTTCTATTAGCGGTGATAATAGATTCTACGTTAATCTAGTTATTTATTCGCGGTAAAGTTCCTCAACTCCGAATTGGGCTACTCCTTCCTCGAATGGAATATTCACGACCTTAATACAAGTGGCTAATAAGTTTC